CCCCCCCCCCCCCCCCCCTGCCTCCCTTACCGTCGTTCCGATCCACCACCCGAACGGTGCGGCGCGGCGTGGCGTGGCGCGGTGCGGTGCGGCGGTCCCACGATCTTCTACCCCTCCTTCCCCACCCGTTCGTCACTCTACCGCGCGTCGCTTTCCCCCTTCCCCGCGCCGCTCCCCGCTACTCTCCACGCAGCGTCCTCGGCAGCAGCCGAAGAGAGCCGAGCGTTGCGTCGTCGTGCCCGCCGCTCTTCGTCTCCTCGGCAACCTCGGCTCCATCGCTCTAGTCAGTAACGCGAGCGCCTTCGTGGAGTTTGGTATTCCGTGTTCTCTGCCGCTCGTGCCGTAAACGTCTCGTCGTGGTAACACACGCAACGCGGCGGCATCGCGCGTTCGTCCTTCTATCCTCCTTTGTCCCGTCGATCGTGTGGGATAAACGTTCGCGCAGTGTTACGCGCCGGGAGTGTTCGCCGAGCGCGCGTTCTCCGTGAATAATTAGACAAGTGTTTGGTGAAGCCCTTGGTGTTTTAGCGCGCGACGACCACCACTCGCGTGAATTCCGGAGTGCCGAGGTAAACAAAGAAATCGCCTCGGAGTCGTGCGACGCAACATTGGTAAAAAAAAAAAAAAAAGAAAGAAAACGGCGCGTGCAGCTCGTAGTAATCTCGGAGTGTGTCGTGCGACCGGTGTCGGCCGAGTTTCCGTATCGTCGGGGCGCGCGGCGCGCGAACGAGAATGCCGGGACGCGTAACGCGGTCGGTCGGAGAGCAGCGGTGTGCTCGCGCCGGTTTGGTTTTCGGGTCGCCGAGTGGCGACTGAGGGGGGTCGGGAGGAGGGAGAAGGGATGCGAAGGATCATCCCGCGGGAGCAGCAGCCGGCGCGGTGTGTTGGGTAGCGGCGTACCGCGTGTAGGTGCCGGGCGCAAAAGTATAGTAAGCGGTAGGAGGAGGAGGAGGATGAGAGATCTCTCGAGGGCGCGAGGATGGCCGGCTGGCGGCGAGTAGCGCTGATCCGTAACGTAGGTGTTGCTGTTGTTGCTGCTGCTGCTGCTGCGCGTCGCGACACCGACGACGTGACGGCCACGTGCCGCGGCGGACGCATCGTTGTTGGCCACTGGCATTAACTCTCCCCCTCTTGTATCCTGACCGGGTGATTGCGTGCCGAGCATGTCGTAACCGCGCGTTTCAGAACACGCGATCCAAGTGTATTCGCCGCTATATTCAGGTATAAACAGAACGGAGGTACTCCGCACGCGTGCATGTTTATTGAGTAAAAACGGCCAGGATCTTACGTGGAGTGGAGTACTACTCGCGTCGAGTGACCGGCGAATCAGGTTGACCGAGTTGACAGAGTGCAATCGCGATATCGCGCGGGAAACACGAGTGCAAGAAACGGGGGGCAGTTCAATGTGCGCTTTCGGGCAAGTTTTCTGACAGCTCCTAAAAAGACAGAAGAGAACAGAAAGAGAAGTGCTTGTTTCTTCACACATGGAATAATTTGTGAAAGAGATCGTTGTTCCGTGTGACTGTGTGATAGCAAGTTTTCCGGGATAGTCCGCGAGACGGAGGCTTATTTGAGAATCTACGAAGATAGATGAAGGTGATCGCGTCAACGTCGTGAAACGTCCGAATTCATTGTACCTTCCGTCCGAATGTGCACCCTGGAGTAACACGCGATTCCTCCTCCCCCTGTTTACGTTGAAGGGTGCTCCTACAATGTGCAGTGATACGTAACGTCCCTTCGTAGTGATCGTTCATGACAGAGGAATTGAAGCAGCGTCGTTGTCGATATTTTGAAAATCGAAGCTTTAACGATGTATCTTTGATTTAAAAGACGGCGATCTCAAGAGACTGAAAGCGTTCGTAGTTACGCATGTTTTGAAAATCGTAAAATCGCTCGAGAGATATTGATGATCGTTGCACTTGTTTCAAGGAAAATTGTCCTTTCGTCGTTTAAGCTCAAGTAAGATCCTCCAGCATTTAGAAGAAAGATCAGTGGGGAAAAAACGAAGTGTTAAAGGGGACAAGAGAGTGAGATATCGGACAAGAGCGAGAAAAGGAAAGCAGAAGGAAAGGAGAAAGTGAAGAGAGACGGGAGAGAGAGAGAGAGAGAGAGAGAGAAGAAGAAGAAGCACGTTTCGTCCTCTAGTCGAAAAAGAAGAACCCCAGCGGGAGTTGCAGAAGAGGGTGAAGAGCGGAGAGGGTAAAGAGCGTGGAGGGGGGAGTGATGCCGGCGGTGAGCGTGGCACAGCGCCCTCCAGGTGGAATCCCACTCCACGCCGGCGTGCCGGTAGCGCCCAACAGCGTAACCGCCCCCGGTCCGTCGGGCCGGTGCCTCGGGGGCCCGGCAGCGCCCCCCGCCGGCTCGCCACCGCTGCCGCCGTCCTTGCAATCCCTTGGCGGCGGCGTCGTCACTAACAGCAACATCAACCCCAATAGCATCAACCACATCGGCAGCAATAACAACAACGCGCTTGGTGGCGGCAACCCCGTCAACAACAATCACCATCTCGGCAACAACGCCTTAGGTATCAACACGGCGAGCGGCGCCACGAATCCTCTCCAGGCGATGGCGTCGGCGGCGGCATCGCTCACGCAGCTCAACAATATGGCGAACGGCCCGTTGCCTCCACTCGCGGGCACAGGCCCGGCCGGACCACCGAGTCTGCCGCCGCCGCAGCCGGCGACGACGCCGACGCACGGCGGACCGCCGACCCCGCATGGCGGGGTCAGCGCGGCGCCCCATTTGAACGGCGCTTCGCCGAGTCCCCATCCGATGCCGCCCCACGGAATGATGAGCGGTTCGCCTCACACGCCTCACCCGCACATGGGGGGCGGTGGGCCCTCGCCCCATCCCCATCACCCGGGGCCCCACATGGTCGGCTCGCCGCATCACCCAGCGGCGCCCCATCCGATGGGCCCGGCCGGCATGATGGGGCCGGCCGGTATGCAGCCCCAAGGCGCGCCCGGTATGTGCGGTCCCGGACCCAGCGGTCCGATGGGTCCGCACGCGCATCCACAAGGACCAGGGGTACCTGGACAACCGCATTTGCACAACGACCCATTTTTCAACTGCCAGCCTTTTCCGTCGCACTACTACAACAGGTAAATTCGCAAGACTGCCAACAATGTGCTTAATACATCTTACGGATTATCTTACGGAAGCGGAGGGAAGAAGCGAATTGTGTAACGAATGACTCTCTCGATCCTAGCAGAGTTTGGAGGGAGACGATGAAAACTGTTGTAATAAACCACGATTTTTCGGTTATAAATGTTTTCTTTTTATATGTTGTTAAATTTAAAATTAATATTAATATAAAATAAATATTTTTTATATAAATTGTTACACATTTAGATATGTATATACAATTTGATGTCTTAAACTACATTCTTTTTATATACTTTTTAATACTAGTTTAAACTTTGTATTCTTGACGATCGAGAACATTAAAGTATATTACAACACTTTGATTCTCTCTCTATAAAACTTTAACAAGTGCTGATAAAGATGAGCGCGTAACTTATAAAATGTAATGATAACTCATATTTTATAATCGGTTTCAAGACACTTACTTTGTCACATGCAAATGTGATATTCGTAAGAGCAAAATTTAAATTAAATTAAATTCTAATATCCTATCAATTAGTTCTTTCTAAAAAGCACGATTTTCTTTATCGTTAATTCATTGGAACATGCAAACAGGATTTCATAACTGTTTAATTTAGCAAGATGATTTAAAAAATGGTTATATTTTTATGTGATCTATATTGTAATTTTCTTAGAATATTCTAGAGCGGCAGACAAATACAATCGATACAGTTTTTTAAGTGTATGTTTATCTTCTTACTTTAACTATCGCGTTACAAATTGTACAGTTGCGTGGGATTATACTGGAAGAAACTTGATTTATCGACTCTAGCGTATAAAATCGACATTAAGTTCTATTTGCCTACAATTTTTTTGTTGCATCTGGCAGGCAGGCGTGATTTTCGTAAGATCGATATATTAAATAGTGCTTCGCTGCCGTAGCGACTGTAATGAATGCGCCATAAACGTCAAAATTACGACAGAAGAAATAATTTGCATACTCGATCCTACGTGAAAATAAATATATATGTCGTCGATATCTCGCTCAATATCGAGAAAGCGCCGTGTTTGCTCTTACTTCTCTATAAAGAAAAGATTTTCGATATATTGCTTTTTACACATTGCAATTTTTCACATTATTGTGAAAGGACTCAAATTATGCAGGATGTATCAGAAAAATCACACATTTTCTTTCGCACGATTGCTGATTTTTTAATAAATTTAAAATTCATTGTCACACTTAACGAGAATATCACTGATTGTTAATACTTTTACTCAAATTTTTTAATTAAAATTTTATTCGTATATAACCATAAACTGAAATTCTTTGTTATTTAATTACAGACTATTTTTTTACTTAATATTTTTTCTAATTTTTTTTTATTTTTGCATTTCGAAGTTAGGATTAATTCATAGAGAATCGCTAATTTTTAAAGGACGAGTGTGTAGATCTAATTTTCAAATCTTTTACCCTTTCCTTAAACGAGATTTTTATCATTATTTATTAATATTTTTTGCCTCAAAACATAACTGTTTCAAAATTACTATTCCATAGTGGCTCCCATTTCCTGGTGATGTCAATAATAAAAAATGGATAAATCTTCTAAAGTTTGTTGTAGAATATTTCTGGTTTTGTGTTGAATTTAAATTGGATGTTAGAAATTCTCTTGAGATCCTCTAATCAGAGTCTGGACACGAGTTGTGCTTTGTATGCAAGATTTCTAGTTTTAGCAAAATTACACGAAAAAGAACATATATTCACTATTTTTTCCTCTTTCTTTTTATTGTATCTTTTTTATCTCTTCCTCTCCTTTCCACATCTTTCCCTCAAGAGTTGCTAAAACGTGCAAGGTGAACCAATCAAAAGTAGCTGTGTCGTGTCTTGACTCTGATTAGAGAATCTTTAATTGTAAGAAATTCGAAAATTAAAATGGCAGCTCTAATATAGCGGTTTAACAATTGAAAAAATACATTTTCGTGAGACTAGTTAACAATAAGATATTTTTGACATCGAAAATTAAATAATAATTGAAAAGTATGTGTAAAGCTGAGAACGTATAGAATAAAACGATAAATCGAATAATACGCGTTCATATACCCTATAATACAAACTATAAAACATGAATAAGATTTATTAAAGTATACAAATAAATTGCAAATTTTTATTTGCGTGTATATGTAATTACTAATAGCCATCTAATGGTCAATTTAAGGAATTCGGCCGAACAAGTATTAACGAATGAGAGTAAGCATAGAAATTATAATTTTAAAAGTAGAAAAGCGCCTATAGTGTCGTTTCTGTACTCCGAGAACAATTTCTGGTTGAAAATGGACGAACCAGAAAATTCTGACTATATATCAATCAGAATTTTGATTTTATTTCAACTGGAATTTAACTACAATAGAAAATTTTGATTTGTCCATTTTCAAGCAGAATTCTACTTAATTCAGTCAAATTCTTTTCCTGGCTTAAAGCTTAATATTCCTTTAAATTATTTAAAATCATGTTATATCTCGTTATATTTTGTTTTATTTCTATGCTTGTAGAAAACGCAAAGTTTCTAAGACGCCTTGTATAGTGATATAAATAGGTAATCTGTCGTCATACCGGCCATAACAGTTCACAGTCACGCGAAAGAACACTCGCACGTGCGTCTCTCGCCAGTCGGGGTGGAACTTTGCGTGAAGGCGTATGTAAACTTTTTCTCGGGCCCGCTCGAGGAAGGGTAGATGAAGGAGGGAAACGGGGAGGATTATGTGGCAGGTAGTCACGCGATGTTTTACGAAAAACTGTATCGCGTGGTCGAAGGAATCTCCCGCGAAGTTTAGCTCTTGCTCACCGCTTATGAGCTATCTTAGTTCTATTTTATGTCGCTGATAATCGCGACATACTCCATTTTATTTCTACAAAATTATTGTCTAATCAACGATAAACTTTCGAGTTCTCTTTTACATGTTTGCTTTGAGTTTGCCTCGGACCAAAGAATACTAAGTACCAATAAAATAATCTTAGTGAATAATCGATAGTATCGGTCAAGAACGGTGACAAAGAGTTCGCATATTCGTTGAACATTCGCGCGCGCGTTCTTTTTCTATCTCTTTTTTCTGAGCCAGATCATCATCTGCAATTTTATGTACGAACACAATAGCGTTACATTGTATAAATAACTAGATAAAAAATGGAAATACGTATGGTCATTTACAATAATATCTCTTAAGGTTCACGTATTTATGGTTGGAAAAGGTGAGGCATATTATCTGAACGAAGGAATAAATCGAAAAAGTAACAGATGGAAACTTTCGGACAATATTAAGTTAAGATTATTCACGGCTTGTCTTCGATTGGTTCGAGATTATTCCGTGACTCGGTCACGGACCGACGAGTTTTTTTCCACCGCGGATATTTTTAGACAATTGTTTTACGGCTCGATACTTCGTTCCGTGCCAATCGTCCGGTAGTCGCTCACTAGTACGTTCTCTCAGGCGTAGTAACAGTATACCCGAAGAATCCGTTACCTCAGTTAGGATCTTCCTGGTCACCGTTGCACAGTTGGCTCCGCGCAACGCGGTTGAGAATAATATGTAGATAACTTCAAAGATTTCCCGAGAATACCATGACCGCTGTAAATTCATCGATACAAAACTATGTTCTAATAGCCACTGAAATCGACTGATGATCGACCCGCCCAAAATTCGCTCGCTTGTAACAAGACATGTAAAAAAAATCCGTTTGCCTTTCGCGAAAATAGAACTTGCTGCGAATAGTAGCCTGTTTTTCTTCGACGAAATTTTAAAAGTAAAATCATGCGCGAGCTGCGCGAGATTGGAGAAAAGCGGCTGTCACCAGATACGCGAGTGTGTGCATGTCAGGTGCGTCGAAAAGTTGTCTTCGTCGCGGTATCTCCCGGTGTCTCAGGTGCCTCGCAGGTGGGAGGTGCCCCTGGCGCAGGTGTGCATGCACGTTCGTTCGCGACTTCCTCCTTCGGCGGGGCTCGTCTTGCGAGAAAAGAGATAGTCAGGGGTTAAGAACATCGATACTCGGTATGTGCACGACGACGATTATCCGATACTTCTCCTCCTCGGCCTTCTTCGTATCCGGTCTGGACGTCTCTATCACCTCGGCATCATCTCTACGCTCACCGTCCCCGTCTGATAATCGCACGGGCTCATTAACATAAGCGTTCCACCCTGCTACATTCATACGAATGACGATGCTACTTTGCTCGCGCAGAGTTTAAGCAAGAGCTTTCTTTTTAACATAGGATACTCGACGATCCCATTTAACATTTACGCGAAACGTTTATGCTCGTACTATCTCTTATAATTTCTGATTGACTGTCATGCCCACAAGAATTTTGCTTTAATAAAAGCTCTATATAAAATTTTTTTATTATAAAATTTTATGTAACATATATTAATTAAAAAGTTCTGAAAGACGCGCGTACGCAATAATTAATCCTACAATAATACTATCGCGTGATATTGATACAGTATTCTATGCGTAAATTTACGTGCAAGAAGTAAGCCACTCTTAATTAATGTATAACACAGATTTTTCATTCATTTTACACTTTTAATAAGAAAATATTTATAATTTAAACTTTTAGAAAATCTAATTATTAATTTAAAGAGGAAAAGAAACGGAAAAATAAGCATACTATCAAATTCCATCCCGAAATGACATTGAATATGTAATTCAATATTGTCTTCTTACAATATTTAAGTAAAATATATAAAATAACATAAAACTGCTTAAAAACTGAAATCACTTATCAACTTTTTGTTATAATACTGATCACCCCATGGGACTCAAACTATGTATGTAATAAAATGATATGTAATAAAAAACGGACAGAGAATTTTTAAAAGCTTGTCTTCGCTTGCCTTAGCATAACAAATTAGACCTCATAATGACCATTAAAGATATAATAATTTAATGCTTAATTATTAGATAATAAATTAATAATCATTGACTTTTTTATTTGTACAAAATTTATCGATCGCTTTTTCTAGAGTT